TGCGATTAGAGAAGAGATTTAAGTTACTTTAAAGATACCAAAAAACGTTAATCTTGAACAGATCGATATAATCGATTATCATTGACCAAGTGGGAGGCGGCGGATCCGGAGGAATGAGCGGGTCTGGAGGCTCTAATGGTTTTGAGAGGTCCGGTGGCGCCGGAAAGAACCACATCCGGAAAGGACACGGAGTCTCGGTCATATCCAAACCAACTATTGGCGAGAGGGTTGAAAGCACAACCAACGGTGCAGATCTATGAGCCATGAAGGACGGATGCGAGGAAGACACCGAGAGAAACTTCGGCGGAGAGGTCTCAAAACAGTTCTTCAGGAGCACTTTGTGTGACCCGAGAAGAGGAGTAGCGCTGCTTCAAGGGAGGAAGACCGCGACGGAGGAGATGCATTCTTGCGTTGATGGCGATGACTCCTCGGGAAATGGTCTTGATTGGGGGAGATTCACAACCTCATTCTATATGTTAGAATATGAATTGGGTAGAAAATAACACTTGACTTAAATGAGTATAAATTGAAATTTCAAAAAAGTTCTAGCTTTCCCAGAAGATGTAGCTCAACCATTTATTCGACCACAAGAAATATTGGGAGAATGGTAAATAATTTGGACCAATTTTGTTTGTTTGATGTAAATCTTTTTACAAACGCAAAATTTTTGTGAGATTTTTGCATGTTGGTTATATTTTGATGTAAGAAAAACTCATATGTTTATCTAGAATCTTTGAGTTTTTGTATTTTTTGGGATTAGTGTTTATTGATATGGGTTATTGTAATGATTTATTCAACGTGTAAATGAGGTAAAGATAAGAACATATCCAACTCGTATGTAAAATCAACAAAAGATGTATGCTAATACATATAAATATTTCAAAACTTAATTTTCCAAAAATGAGATATTGGTAAACCATGATATTTCAAAAATTAAAACATATCCAATTTTTTATTTTCCAAAAATGAGATATTTTCCAAAAATATTTCATTTTTTTAGGGTCAAACCATAATTTTATAAATCAAATTACTCTCCACAAAGAGATAAATTGTTTAC